ACCTATACTGTATCCCTAGTGTCCCTACACGAGCAACTATGAGACCAGCTGCATCCATCATATGGACGGGTATACAGCACACCAGTATATCCGGTTATCACGATGTCCCTCTCGAGTAACCTATGACCGGGATTATTTAGGATATGTGTTTAAAGGTGAATCGATCTCATTATCGTGATCTCATCACGATCCGATTCCCATTGCACAAATCCAAGGACATCACAATATATGTATGCATTTATGCAATAGTTATAAAGTGATATACGCCAAAATATAATAAGCAAAAGGATTCTGTATCAAGTCACACGTGCCATCACTCACGTGATTGGCTTGCTAGGCACCTATGACTAGCAGTCGGGAGTCCGCCGGAGCATTGCCTAGAGTTCGTCGGATGTTCGCCGGAAGCTCGCCGGAAAAGCAATTAACGCACTGGAACAAAAAGTGCTATGATTATGTCTTAATTGTCGTAGTTAGATTGTAAATTAAGTTAGGATTGAGAGATAATCCCACTAACTTAATTAGGGGCCAATTGGGCCCTTAACAGGGTTGAATTGGGCCGAATTGAGCAGCCCATTTAGCCCCTGAATTCTTGGCCGATGGTGGCACTGCTTGGAAAGCTGTGCCTCAAGTTATCTGGGTGATGGTACCGCTAGCAGTTAATGCTGTCAACGGTGGTACCGCCCTTGTCAGGCGATGGTACCACCCAGTGTCAGGTGTTAGGCGGTGGTACTGCCCAATAATGGTGATGGTACTGCTAGTATCCCGATAATCCAGGATGAGACATTTTTTGGCTCCAATTTTGAAGCCATTGAGGTCTACAAACACCCCATTATTTTCTACATGAAAGGATACGAAAGTATTGGCATAATCTTGAATTCTTGAGTCTTAAAGTATTGTAAAAGTGAGAAGAGTTCTCCTCCTTCATATCTTAACCTTATAACCATCTAAGAAAGAGGAGTGAGATTTGTAAGAGTTATCTCCTAAACCTGGCAAAAGGAGAAAGAGCTGTAAAAGGTGGTTGGCCTTCGCTTGTTGAAGGAAGGTCTTTAATGGATGTCGATGATCTCGTTGGAGGAGGAATCCAAAAGTGGATGTAGGTCACATTGACCGAACCATTGTAAATTCTGGTTTGCTTTTCATTTATGCAATTTACATTACTGCAAATCTCCTTAATCTTCTCTTGCAATTTTATGAAAGTTTTCAAGTTCAAATTCTCTCCGAAACGGATTGAATCGAAACCATTTTCGTCGGAATCGGTTTTAATCGAAACAAAGACTTTTGAAATCGAGAAAATTTTTCGCTATACTAATTCACCCCCCCCCTCTTAGTGCCGCTCTTGATCCTAACAATTTCTCTCATGACACGAGAGTGGATGATCCTTTATCAACACTCAATAACCCTCGTAAGGTTGACTATCACTCTCGATGACCGGTTGTGCTAGATCTGGGACATCCAAACTTATAAGTCTGGTATCAAAGAGTGGAGCACTCATACAAGACATCCTTAGTGTTTCAAGTCTAAGGACCAGATACATCATTGGGACTACGAAATCGCTGTCTAACAATAAGGTATCATCAATCATTTAACATTCCATAAGTGGATCAATCAATGAACTCATTCCCTAATGAGCACATGTATTGTATCGCTAGTGTCCCCATACGAGCAGTTATGAGACCAATTGCATCCATTATTTAGATGGGTATATAACACACTAGTTTGTCTGGTTATCTCGATGTCCCTCTTGAGTAACCTATGATTGGGATTATTTAGGATATGTGTTTAAAGGTGAATCGATCTCATTATCGTGATCTTATCACGATTTGATTCTCATTGCACAAATCCAAGGACATCACAATATATACTAATATATGTAATAATTAATATAAAGTGATAAATATCAAAGGAAAAAGACTATGTCAAGTCATATGTGTCATCACTCACATGATTGACTTGCGGGGCACGTATAACTAGCAATTTAGTGTTCAGAAAGCTATGATAGAGCTGACATTTGGACCCACTAATTTTACATGGTCCATCAAGTGTTTGAGGAGAAAAACTATCTTAATTAGTTAATCCAGGTTAGAGAATGTTGATGCGTTGATTAAATAAAGTTAGATAAGCTTAAAAATATATGGATCTATATTACGTGGTCATAATTTAGTCGACGGATGATCAATTAACCTCGTAAGCAATTAAGGAAGACTTTGACGTTCGAAAGGATAATTATATAGCCATCAAATAAATATTTAAATCCTGTATTAGAGTGGATGGCAAGAAACCAAATACCGAGACGACTCCCTCTTAATCCCTTGCGATTCCTCGTTCCTCTCTCTCTCTCTCTCTCTCTCTCTCTCTCTCTCTAATTTTTTTCTTAAAAGAAAATTTAAAGTATTTTAGTGGTGAAATCGATAGGAGGTAATTCTATTCGTAGCAGAATCAAAAGATCCAAGTTCGGAAGATAATAAAAATTCTTTCAAAAATTAAAGAGTTTATTGGTTCTGAAGAGATTGAGAGAGGTTTGGATTTCTGGAATACAAGAATCAATTGATAGGGGAAAGCTTACCACCAATTAGACCTCTAACACTTGATGATGCATTCAACACATGGAGATTGAGGATCCCAATCAGCAACCATGCCATGTCAGCATCTCCCCAAATATAAAATGTCAGGAAATATTTATCTCATAACATAGAATATTTTTAAATCGATTATATCACAGTAATTGAGCTCAGTCACTGTTTACTCACACCTTTTATTATCAGTCTTGTGTAAGGAACTCAGATCCAGCTTCTACAGTCACCGGTGGAACTGCGCCGAGTGATTCCAAAGCGACCGCCGCAGCTGAGAACTTGTTGTCCAGCGGTTAATGGATGAATGCCTGGTTGCCGACGCCGGCGAGCAGCCAGAAGAAGCGGTTCCGGACCAAGTTCAAAGTGGAGCAGAAGGAGAAGATGCCGGATTTTACTGAAAAGGGTGGGGTTGGAGGATTCAGAAGCAAGCAAGGGTGGGTTGACGAGGAAGACGAAGCCACCAGCGCAGCAGCAGCGACGGCCATGAGATTATGTTCGCATCGTACGAGGGGAGGGGAGGGGACGGCATGATGAAGACAGAAACGAAGCATCCGCATTGGTATCATCAACCTGACTTGCTTAGAGGTATTGGCTACACTTGGTAATCGGTCAGATCATCGGCTAATTGCAACACAGGTAAGTTCAAAGATATGAGCATTCACGTGCTGGAATAGCCACGCTTGAAACTCCTCTTATCGACTACATATTAGTCCACAAAAATGATTTAATATGGCAAACATATAAAGATCATTTGGTAAATGATCAAAATAAATGATTCAAGACCAGTAGCATTTATTAAAATTATATAATTTCTTTATATTCTCTTGGAGCTCACGAGTTCTGAAAAGATAAAATTATATAATTTCTTCACGACCCTATGGGCTACACCAACGAGTAAGTGTATAATTTTTCTATAGACTGTACCAACGATCGATCGACCAAATAGTTCATCATCATTAATCATATAAAATCAAAAACTCAACCTACCCTCTTTGGTATAGTATTTCCTTCCTCCTATCCTACGAAACAGATACAGAAAGTCACCAAAAACTCGTAAGAACATTGATCAAAACAGCGAGTTCTTTCGTACACTGCTTTGTCTAATTCTAGAATCCAAAAGAAAATATGCTTTCATGGAGAGGAACGGATCAAAAGGTGTACAGAAGATCAAACCAACAAATATATAACTGAAATATAAAGTGCATAGAAGATCAATTATATACAATAGAAACATATTTGAGTAAGTGTACAGAAGTACCCATGCTTTAAGTACTGAACCCTACAAACCAACAAAAGTATCCTTAGAAGCCACAAGGAATTGTGATTTATTGGGGAGAAGGAACAGATCAAAAGGTCAACAACAATACAATCGAAATATTATTTACAGAAAAAACATGTTTTAATAAATGTATAAAAGTATCAACGTTAAAGTACTGAGCTACATATCAACAACAGTATCCTTAACATTGAACATGGATCAATAAAGTATCCTTGAATGCATCTCCCACTAATAATAAATGTGCCCATTTATTATAGAATAAATGACTAAGACTAGCAATGGCTCAATAAGAAATCTCTAAGTTGAATTCCTATAGAATAAAAATAAAGTGACAACAAGAATCAGGTTGGATCCGATTCTTATTATCATCTTATTTTGATGTCTCCTTTCTTCTGGTCTTGCATTCGATTCGAGATAAGAATAGTTGCATCATGTTAAATATATTTCTACGTAAGTTAACCTCATAAATCACATAACTATATGAAAATCAATGTCCAAAGAAATTCTTAACATTATTCATCCAACATTTAAGTTTGTATCTCGAAATGAGTAGGAGAGGATAGAATGAAAGAATTTGATCTTTAAAATTGTGTATATGTTTATATTTATAATCAATAAGTCCTTAACTTAGGAAAATATTTCTTGAAACAAAAAATATTCTTTGACAATTTTTTATTCGAATCATGGTTGACTCATTGTCATTTTAGGTGACAAGATCAACAACTAAATGAAGAAGAATATTTTTATATCAAATATATCTTTTTTATTAATTAATTAGACTTATGGTGTAATTAGATAATGTAAAATTATTAATATTAGTGATTAAAAAAAGTAGAGATAGATCTTAAAAAAATATTCGAAACAAAAAATATAAATTTAAATGTTTTTGATTTAATTTAAGATATATCTTTTTTTTATAGCTTAGCAAAATATCTATTTACCCAACTCTAAATAGTAAGAACATATTCTATTGTTGTAATAATAAGACCCATTGAATTCCGCGGGTTCTCGTAATAGACGGTTCTGATGCGAGAATTGGATGTTCAGATTAAAAGTAAAATTGGACAGGATCTTCGAACATGACGTCGCTCATAACCTCGAGTATTATGCTATCTTTCGTCCGATGTATGATGGACGGTCGATATGTCAACACGGCAGCACTATATATTTTCTCCTCCTTGCGACGTGGCCCGTCTCGCATTCTCCCAAACCCTAACGAGGTCCGAGTGGGCGGCGACGATGGTGGCGATCGAACTCTATCTCTCCTCCTCCTTCCCTTTTTTCTATCTTCTGTCTTTCTTCTCCTGCACAGGTCTGACCTCGATTTGTTCGTCTGCGTTGCAGACTTTCAAGCGCAGGAATGGTGGACGCAACAAGCATGGCCGCGGCCACGTTAACTTCATCCGCTGCTCCAACTGCGGCAAGTGCTGCCCCAAGGTATCACCTTTTGAGATTGAACGATTAATTATATTTGATTTTAGCATTTTGCTTGAGAGTTTCTGTACTAAAATATTTGGAACTTGGATTTATCTCTCGGTCTTGGTCCGATTGCAGTTTCTGAATCACATTCCGTTACATAAGAAAAATATTGATCTTTCTTCCTTTTTTCCCTATTTATATCTCTAGTTCGATCTCTTTCCATGTATTCTTACGGTCAATAATGCAACTTACCTATATTAATTTTATCTTGAAGGACAAGGCCATCAAGAGGTTTCTTGTGAGGAATATAGTGGAGCAGGCTGCCGTGAGGGATGTGCAGGAGGCCTGTGCCTATGATGGTGAGCCCCAAACTTGTTGCTAGTTCTTGTCTTAATTGAAACTTGGTTGTTTGTTGGAATATACTCAAAACTTTCAAATACTTAAGGGTACACTCTGCCAAAGCTATATATCAAGATGCAGTACTGTGTCTCTTGTGCAATCCACTCCAAGGTTGTGAGGGTGAGGTCTCGCACTGACAGGAGAAACCGTGAGCCACCACAGCGCTTCAGACGCCGGGTACTTGTCCCAGATTTTACACTTATCTTCAAGTCTTGTCTAGTGTATCTTGGTGAATATGTTTGTAATGCTATTCATTTTGTTTTGCTATTTTATCCCAGTTTTGTGTTTCTTGTATATGTGACTGGCTTAGTTCCTGCTTAGAACAAGAGATTGCAGATTGTTAATTTGTGCAATGCTAGTATGTTAAAATTTGAAATTTGGAAGGACAAAAAAGAAGTTGGATCAACTTGATATTTTGTTGATGTTTTGCACTGATGTTATTAACTTTTGAAGTTGATAATCCTAGTGTAAATAACTTTTGAAGCTGAGGAGCTTCTTTTATTGTCAAAACTGCTAGTTGTTTTGGTTGTTTATGGGACCATGTTGCAGATCTAATCTGTAACCTTTTGTAAATGATATTTTTTGTACAATCTGATTAATTCTCACCATAGGTGACAACTTTAGGACATCTGTTCTATAACAAGTTAGCATTTATTATGACTAAAAAGTACATAAATTCTCCATGTCGAACTTATGGCTGTCAAACTTTTTATTGTTAACTTGGCTTGCTTGATCATACTCTCGATAGTGCTTCAACTGTTGAATCTTTTGCAGCAACAGTATTTTTCTTTAGAATTATCAGATTAAAGTGAACTTTTTGCTATCATTTATTGTGATTATAAGTCTCAATGGTATAATTTGTATTAGGCAAAAGCAGATATCCATGGAATCAAGTGATTTTGAAATATCAATTTCTCATAATATTTGATATATATAATTTATGTTTTGGTGGTAACAAAGGGATGGACCTACAAGTCAGGTATCATGGTTTACTTGTGAAATCAATTCTGTCCATTTTTCTTGAGTCAGTGGATTGAATTGCATCAGAAAATGGGGTTATATATCATTATGTAGTCTGAATTGAGGTTTTGATGATGCCTTGTTCTTGTAATGTCAGAAGATCTGAAGTCCAATGATGATTTCAATTAGCTGTTTAATTGGATCACCTAGATGGCATTACTGTGGAGTCTTACTATAGCCTGAGAATTCTACTAATGGGATGGATTGTTTCGGAAAAAAAAAAGGATTCACAAGCCCCTGATTAAAAAAAGAAAAGGATGAAGAGGGTGGCGCAGAAGGCTCCCATCAATAGGGAGCCTAAGGAGGATAGTGTATCAGAAGATTCTACAATTCTGTTTAACTTTCTAGTGGCAAGTGTTATTCATCATATATTGTTTCACAAAAACTGTCAATTGTCTTGGTGCATCTTGTCACCTTTGTATCCAAGAAAAACCTTATCTGGTCGATGTGATGGAAATTCACTAAGCTGGAAGAATTAATCGTAATTTACCAAGCAAGACATGTTAACTAGATTAAGAGTGGTAATCTAGAGTTTGTGTTAATCGATTGCATCCATCTCCTTTATGGGTATTGCCTTTGGGAAAATGTTGGAAGGAATATTAACAGTAACCAGTAAGTATATAGGAATAGAGCGATGAAGCATTGCAGTAGGTGTTCTAGGGATATGGCCTATTTTTATAGTTTGTTGCTGATATGTTTCAGATAGTATGCATTTGTTTGTATTGCCATCGAACAGAAACCATGTTTTGAATTTACCTGCTTCTGATTGATGGATTGATTTCATTATTACTTGTGATGCAGGATGATCTGCCGAGGCCTGGGCAAGGACCTCGTCCGGCCGGAGCTGGAAATCCACCTCGGCCATGATGCAAGAATTATCTTTTGCGACATTATAGTAGTTTTTCTTTTAGACTAGATCCTACGACTAGTATCAAGTACCAAGTGACTTGTTTATGGGAAATCAATTAGAACCTTAATTTGTAGTAATGGTTTCATTTTCTTGTTTCGAATAGAAATATGTTATTGGCAAACTAGTTATTAATGATGTTATCCAAGTATGTGCTTTTGCCAGCACTCTTTTCAATAGGTGTTCATATATTATGTATGATTTTAGTACTGTTACTAAAATATCATTAAATTTGAATTAATTTCTGATGAGTTTACGTCAATTAAACAATTGAACTTTGATAAGATGTTATAATCATTACGAGGACTACATATTTAATGTAATTAGGATAACTTGATAGAGTGTTTATAATACTTAGTTACGTGAGTCTCATAATATCTAAGTATGTTCCAATTAAATCACCGCCATTTCTGAAAAGATTTAAAATACCATTAGAACTATTTATATCATTAATGAGATTCCAAAGGCGTGTCAAATGGTATGATTTTAAAAATAAATTATCAATTGAATTTAGAAAGCCAAGATAATACTTAGTTAAATGTTACACTAATAATAAAATTGAAGTCATTGAAAAATTTTATTTTTTGTTTGTATGCAACATATTTTTTTCCCATTTCTTTTATATCTATTTATCTATACTTTGGTTTTTATCAATATGTGTAAAAGATTCTAAATTGCTCGGCCCTGAAAAAACCAAAAAAGTGTCAGGAGATTATTAAATATAAAATTACTTTTAATTATTGAGAATTTAAAATGATTAACAATTATTTTTCTTCTTATTTATTTATCTTATCTTTGATTTAATAATGTTGAATCCCTAAAACAATATAAAAGATGGCAGTGTGTACGTCTGCCCATCAAACGCCCAACCCTTCCTCACTCTCCGTTGCAGCCTACGACGCGCCCTTCTCCCTCCCGCCCCCACCTTCTCCTCCTCCTCCTCTTCGCTTTACCAATGGCGACTTCCCCGGCGAACTGTCTCCCGGAAGCCGACTCCTTGCCCGATGGGTTCGTCGAGGTGTCTGCCGACCCCCCGCCTCGGCCGGCGTCGTCCGACTACAAGGACGCCTTGCTCGATCTTCATTTCTCGGGCCAACGGCTCGTCGACCCGTCGCCCCCGCCCTCGGAAGCAGCGGAGGGGACCCTAACTCCGGATTGTCTGGTGGATGGGACGGAGAAGTTTGTTTTCTCGACCGACTTCTTGACGAGAGAGGATGGCGTCGGCGATTGCTCCGACTCGGTGGCGCGAGATGGCATCTCGGAGTCGAAGCCTGGTGATGATGCCTCGAAGGAGATGAGTAGAACCCCGAATGAGATCTTGATAGGTTCATCTGCGGGACGAAGTAGCCAAGGAGACTGCCAGAGTTCCGAAACAGGTTAAAGATCTTTCTTTTTTCCCCTTGTCATCTGTCTACGGTATCTATCTTCCTGTTTACGTTAGGTTGCCTTGCTAGTTCTTCTCGTTATCACGTTTCGTGCAAATATGAGAGATAATGTTTGTGATGTCGGGATCAAAACATATAACTATTGCAGTTGAAAGAAATCTAGTCAGGTTACATGAGAAGCTTGTAGTAATCAGCGGTAGCTAAAAGAATATCCCGTTGAGGGCCAACAGTTGATGGAAAAGGGCACATCATAGTCAATTACATAATATTTTCGGACAAGGAGATCATTGAAACATGCAACAAGAAGAAAATGAATTCTAATGAATAAGCTGCAGTGACATGAATGAACATATAGTAATTGGAGTGCACAACAAAAAAGAAAATATACAATCTTTATTTAAGAAAAGGAGCTTAAGGTAGTGTCCGCATTATGATGTAGTTGGGTGCAAAATTGACAAATTTTTTACTATAATTTTAGTTCTGAAAAAACTAACTACCTTAAGTGGATATGAGTGAGGTCTATCCTAGTCATTCCCTGTTATAGGATTGTTTCTCCGGCATTTGTTGTGTTTTTTAGGATTTACAATTGTGAATATAGCCTGCAAGAAGTGATGGGAATTTTCAGGTGAATCCTGATGTTCAGGTTAATTTAGTGAAACCAGATGATTTTTTGATGTACTTAGTTTATTTTATGCTCTTTTTTGTGAGGGGCCTGGTTGTTGGGTGGATGGACCAGCAGGACTAGTTACCACTTTAATCTACTAATTTTACTAAGTGTTTCATCTTTGGAGGTGATCACAAATGAATTGAATCAGTGAATGAAAAATAAATTTGCATAAACTAAATGTAATTAAGATGGTATCTTGACTGCCATGTAATGTGCATTAACAAATTGTGATAGTAAATCTTTTTGATACCAAGAAATTTCATAAGCCACCACATGTATATAATGATGCAAAAGCAATCAATTAGGATACAAATATATTATATTATCATGATGATAAAGATTGCTTAAACAAGCCTTCAATATGATTAGATATTTTTATTATTGGAAACCAACTAGTGAGCAATCAATTTCATAAGGTTTTTAATTTCGAATGATATCGTCCATACCGGGCGTTACGTATCGGTTCGCCAGCAGACCAGTATGCAGACCGTTCGCTACCATTGATTGAGACTATTTTCGCCTCGTTACGACGTGAAATCGGTCGATGACGATCGATTTCGACCGTCGCTGCTCGCTACGGGACGGTATTAGCTGAGGGAGAAGGAATAAGAGGGAGATGAAACGGGAGAACCTGGAGATCCGACATTGCTCTCCTTCGACGATCCCGATCCGTCGCCGTCCTCCCTCGTCGGACATTGCAGATGAGATGTCGCCTCCTCCTCATTTGAGGCGACGAGGCCTCGATGTTGTTGGTGACTTCTCCTCATCCGTGCGGGAAGAAGAAGCTTTGGTGATATATATATATATATATATATATATATATATATATATCGAGCGATACACCAAAGCGTATTGCTCGGTATACTCGTACCGTACCGTATCGAGCTGAGCTCGATATTCCGGTATGGTATGAAATTACGAACCTTGATATTATCATTTAAGCTTTTACCTGATGTACCTAAGCATGAGAAGGTCCTGAAGAAGGTGCTTTAACATAGTTTCAAAAGAGAACTAGAGACTGTGACCTTGCGTGAAGATATCCAAGTACTTCGAAACACAAATATATAGCGGACAAGTGAAAGAAATTGTGCTAATGCTTAGTTTGCATTTTGATGGTATCTGTGAACATTGTCCATAATATGATTGACATAAAAATTGTTTTTGCTTCAACTATAGCCTTTAGTTCAAATTTAAGGATGTTATGTGAGACAAGGACCTCCCTAAAATCTTTAGTGACAATATTTGGAGTTGAATGCTGCAAGCTGCATATTTGCAGTAGTGATGTCCACAATAATGGCTTTGTGAATTTCCTTGTTGTCTCTGCTGCCTGGTCATGCATGCCACATATACACTTGTTGTCTTTAATATTCTGAAAGCAAGTAGTCCTGGCAATATAAAGAAAATGACGATGAATTAATTTTCCCTATGGATTTTGCAGAAACAAAAGGCCAGTTGGAATTAAATGCCATCAATCTAAAGGTAAGATTGTACCGCAGGATATGCTGAATGTTCAAAGTGATTTGTGGATTACAAAAAGCTTGACGCATTAAGTCAATTATCATGTTAACTACCCGCACATCAATTCTCCATATCTTCAGCTTGTTCAGGTTGATCTCACAGATAATTTACCTTTTGTTCAGGGATCTATTTGTGATAAACACAGTTCTTTTATTTATTTTTGGCTTTCAGATGTGCTACTTTTATAAGGCTTTCTTTATCATTGGAAAATTTGTTTGGCTCCTTTTCACTCGAACCATTTTTATGTGCATGTGATTTCTCTTGTCACAATGAAGCTGGTTGGGTCCTCTACCATCCTACTGTGTTGCTCCTTTCAATTGTTTCTTTAAAGAGTAACAATAATTCTTACAGGAAAAGGAATGACACATATATTAATATGGTCGATCTATAAATGAATCTTAAGTTGCTTTGTTAGTTTTCTGATCAAATGTTTTGCAGCTTTGTAAATAATCTCAGTCCAACTTGTTTAAAATAATATATATATTTTTTGCTGTAACTTCTATTTATCAATGGTCAAAAGGACTTAAAAATCAATCTTTATTCTGTAAAGTCATCCTTATCAAAGTTTTGCTCTATGGTGTTCTGTAACATTGTATGGAATCACATTATAATTTGAGATCATCCAGAGAATACATATTTTTTAAAATTAAATTTAATTACTTTTAGAGTTCATTTCTGTTTCTGTGAGAATATGTAGTCTTATACTTTTTGTAGTTTGTCTAATAGTTCAATATTCTATGTTCCCACATGCTTCTAGTTATGTAGGTATGATGATCAAACATACTTCTTTAGTTGGTTCATTATGTCATCTTGTGATTTGAGCAAATTCCATAGATATCTGTAGCTTGCAAACAAGATTGTATTGAATTACAAAAATCAGCTACACTTCATTACTTGCAACATGTATCTTGCATAATTTAGCTTGCAGAACTATAAGAAAGATTATATTTTTGCTTTTGATAATTTAAGTGGATTTATTCTAAGCGTTTTAAACACTTCTTTGATCATGTAAAATATTAAATATCTTCTCTTATTTAATGGTCAAAGTTTTGCTCCATGGTGTTCTGGAACATTGTATGGAATCACATTATAATTTGAGATCATCTAGAAAATACATATTTTTAAAAATTAAATTTAATTACTTTTAGAGTTCATTTCTGTTTCTGTGATAATATGTAGTCTTATACTTCTTGTAGTTTGTCTAATGGTTCAATATTCTATGTTCCCACATGCTTCTAGTTATGTAGGTATGATGATCAAACTTCTTTAGTTGGTTCATTGTGTCATCTGGTGATTTTAGCAAATTCCATAGATATCTGTAGCTTGCAAACAAGATTGTATTGAATTACAAAAATCAGCTACACTCCATTACTTGCAACATGTATCCTGCATAATTTAGCTTGCAGAACTAAATTATTTTTTTGCTTTTGATAATTTAAGTGGATTTTTCTAAGCATTTTAAGCACTTCTTTGATCGTGTAAAATATTAAATAGCTTCTATTATTTAATGGTCTTTCAGGAAGGAGTTGAAGCAAAACAAAAAGTTACAAAGCGCAACACAAAGTCAGAGGAGCTGCTAGAATATACTTTGAAATATCAAAAAGTAATGTTAGAGAGAGATGCAGGTTAGTGATAAAAATTAATTGTATACAATGGAATGTTTAGATTCATACAATGTGCATTGTGGTTGTTCGCCACTTTGAAACTGCCATGAAAAGGTTGGCTATCAATTCTTAAACTAGAATGCACTTTGATGTATGTTTGTTTTGTCTTTTAATTCACATCAAAACTTTTACTAGCTATAATCTGTTTTATACCAATTTGTATGAGTCATCTATATATTTCTTGTAAGGAATGTGAAAATAAAGAACTTGAGCAAAATTGCATAAAGAGATTCTTTTACTGTGATATGGATCAATGTTGGACTCGGTTAAGGGAAAAAATTGAGGAGATGGAAATTTTTGAAAATTGCATTTATTAGAAGCAATACAAATAATGATGCTTTATGATGTGGATAGAGCACTCAAAATTACTGAAATATAATGGGTTCTTGAACTAACTAGGGTGCTCATCTAGGTGAATGGCTAAAATGAAATTTTATAAAATTGATTTAAGTTGTAAATGAACCTAAATAGTAGGCTAGCAAATTAATTTCATATGTTAAGTTGGGAAATAGGAGCAACTTGTGTGGTAAAATTTTCCACTTTAAAGACAGCGTCTCATAGAAAAATTTAATCATAAATAGATGGTAACAAAAAATATTTGTCCATTCTGGATAGGTTGGTGAATAAGTTAATGTCTCACATGAATTGGATCTAAGCTTCGAGATGCTCACCTATGCTGCTTTGTCAATCTTTCCTGATTTATGTGAGATCCATTTGTTTATTTGCCTGCTTGATGGTAGCTTGCTCTTGCATTTACGTCCACTTCTGTCCTCCATGGCTGTGTAATTTATTTTTATCAAAGGGAGGAGCCAGTATAATCTCCAATTGTGTTTTGAAACGTCACATTCATCAGCCAACTTAAAACAAGTTTTTCTCCTTCTAGCCAATTTTAGTTTTGAATTTTAAAGGTTAATCATATATTAGGGATGGCCAATAAAACAGATATCGAGTAGGTCTTTGAAGCAGTAGAATACTTTTATGACCTCATTGTTCATACTTATAAATAGCAATTTTTTTTTTCTGATTCTCCTCATGTTGCTTATAATTTCCTGTGAATTTGCTTGCTTCTGGAAGCTGTTGCTGTTCGTGAGAAACTTGAGTCACTTTGCAGGGAGCTGCAACGTCAGAATAAAATGCTTATGGTACATTTTCCAAATTGAGAGGTTGAATGTATCTTTATTGCTATGTTGACATATGCAACCTTGCTTCAGCCTGATATGACTTGTGCAGGATGAATGTCAAAGAGTATCTACAGAAGGACAAAATATGAGACTCGATTTGTCTACAAAGTTTAATGATGTAATTAAGGTAAGAACTAAGACAATATATCTTAAGTGTTTGGTTTTTTTTCTTGTCCTCTAATACATATACAATTTTTTTTTAATATTTTTAAAATCAAGTTGTTATCTTAAAGTTAAGACATTAAGAACATAACTTCTATCAAACATCTGCTTGTGAAGTAACTAATTTCTGTTCTACTAGTGATTTATACTGATGATCTATGCCACACTCCAAGACTAAGACTTAAATGATGAGAATGTATAGAGAAATCCATGGTGAACTATAGTTGTATAGTATATAGATTTTCTTTGACGTTTCTACATCTCTTCACACTTTTTTGCTTGAATTTTTTTTAGTGCCCTGAAACAGTGAACTGGTTGAACATGGCATCATTGGCCTAGTGTTATGATGAAGAGCAAAGTACAGCACCGAATTTACTGGATATGAATTATAAAGCAGCAAAAAGGAACTGTTGGAAAACCATGCAACAGAGTGCATGTGTTTCCAGAAACCGAGAATTGAAAGTTTCTTGGACCAACTGAAATGACCTTTGAGACAAATTGGAGATATGATGGATGGGCTGCACAATAAGTAAATTATATTAAGGCTAGGATTAGTCATAAAACTACATTAAATAGGACAGTGACGCATGGGAATCTACTTGTCTATGTGTGGCCATATCACGAGACAGGTACTTGTTTATGTGTTGACACATTAAATACATCATATTCCTTCCACGATTTTTTACTGTATCCCAAAATTTGTTTCTAGAATTATTCCTTTTACATGTCTTATGGTTATTGGTTTTGTAGTGGGGTGTGTCCCTTTTTCTGTTTCCACTACTAAAATTTGTTAATCAATGGCTTTTGTGTTGTAGGATATCACCAATAAACTTGAGGTGCAAAAAGATGAATGCCTTTCTCAGCTCAATGAAAATGAGATGTAGGGTTCCTGGAGTTCTTTTTATATTGATTGCAACAAGATATCTTTACACGAAGAAACTTTAAAATAGGTTTATTTTTCTGGATTATATCCTTATCATCTAATTTCCGCCAATTGTGAGTATGATATTTGAAAATTTCTTGATTAAACTGATACTTATATCAAGATAAAGAGGAATTATCAAGATAAAGAGGAATTAAGAATGACATGATAGATAACACTCCATCAGGCAGTTGTAGATAAGGCTCAATATGAAGGCATAGTAATTATGCAACAAAGATATCAGTCAAACTGCCATATAATGCTTTCTTACAAGATGTTAAATACATTTAGGAGCAAGTTACAGGGATGGCATAGGTCATGAATATTCTTCTATAAGCAGTGTTATTAATAGCCTTTATAGCTTGTCCGTGTACTTGCATTTGTTATGACTTCATTTTTGCCTTGTCTTTTTTAAATCAGTTGCCAATCACATATTGAATCACATGCCAAACAATGCTAGCCATTAAATGCAGGTTTTCTGGATTATATAGAGCTGTACCAATAACCACAGCCTGCTCTTTGTTGGCAGGTGTTGGCACATGCTGTAATGACTCTGCATGTGTGATGAATTCATTGTCCCTCATCTACTGTTTTACATATCTTACGGAAACCTAGATAGTGTAGATTATCACTGGAACAAGATACTTGAACATGAATATTGTTTTACCAACTCTTTTTTTTTTGTGGAAAGGGAGATGACAATTGGTTTCTTTATTCATAAGTTCTTCATTAATTAAAACATTGGAGTGCATATCTGGAAGTCTGGAGCCAACCTTCTTAAAGATTACATGTTTTTCCAAGTTGTGCTTGTGAAATACATGAAACATTGTAACTTCCCTTACCTTTCATTTGGCTTTCTATCTAAACATGATGATGATATTTGTGCAAACATGCACACATGCAGTATCTGCTCTCAGCAGTAAGAATAACCTCCGAAGTTGGGGTGACTGGTATGAGATGTTTACCATTTCACAAATATCTTACTTATCAGATGAAAGTCTTGATGCCCATTGTCCACGTCATCACATCTGTTAGAAATTTTCTTCCTGTTATGTGCAAAAAGATATATGTTAGTTCACCCTTTATTTAGGCTATTATCTTTCTTAAATGGAATTTTTACACGATGTTGAAACTTACATGTTCATCTCTGTGTTTGTTAATATGTTGTTGTTCCTGATGTTTATGATTACTAATGATTGCTGATGATCACTTGGTTTTCATTAATTTTCATTAATTTATGTGACAAATATTATGTTCCAAATAAGCATGGGTATGTTACAGCTGCTAAGTTTTTGGTTATGCACCTAAGAAGTGTTCCTAGGTAATGTAATAATGATATGTTATATTCAACTTACATAGCATTATGTTGCTTATTCTTTCCTGATGTCAGATGATGGCCCTTTCTCTTTTATATTATTGAGCTACTATTCTTTACAGACAAATTACTTGCTTTCTTTTAGGTTGAGAAATAAGATAAAACTCCTTGCTGACCAATACTCTCTCTCTGAACAACATTTTGCCCAAAAGGTAAGGTCTTCAAGGATTTTGTATCTTCTGAATTTCTGTGATGCAAGTTCTGATTTTAGATAAACCATAACTTTGACTTTGAGGCTCACTAGTGTTTTGCCCTTTCCATATAAACTGTGTCTACAGTTACAGCAGAAGACGCTAGAACTTCAGCTTGCTGATCTAAAACTTCAGCAACAGGAACGGAAGTCTGCTAAGGAACAAACCCAGATGCAATTGTATGCTGAACAGGTTTCACAGCTTTTGGCCACTGAGAAGAGTTTGCGTCTACAGCTAGCAGCTGATGAAGAGAGATTTCAGCAATTCCAAGTATCTGAATTAAATTTGAAGTTTATGTAGAAAGTGTTTAAATAATAATGTGTTAGGCATAAATCAATTGTTAATTATCTGTTAAGGTCAAACTTAGTTTCGATTTTGGCAAAGGACACTGCCCAAGAAAAATCTACATAATAGTATTAGTACCTGAACTGGTATAATGTCTTAGAGATCATAAATAATGTCTCGAAATAGCAAGAGACATACTCATGCCATGTTTTTTTAATGCAGGATTTTGCTTACTATCTTAGTTGAGCCTAGTCTGAGAGTAAGTCAAGTCTGAGGTTTAGCTTTTCTTTTTTCATGCAAAACTAGAAGAAATTTTTATTACATCAAATAACATACATGACACTCATACTTGGACTCGAAGCAGAAACCTATCACTAGTGGAATATTGCAGTAATAACCAATCCAGAGGTCTCAACAGAGACTTTTGCATATTTTTATGTGGATTTTTGTTTTCACTTTTTTTCTACGTTTAGAGAGTTCGCAAAGGTTTATACATAATGGGCCATGCAACTATTTGTGATTGGTCTTGTAATGCATGATTGATAGATACATGTATTTTTATCAATGAGCAGACATCTCTCTCTCTGCCCCTTCTGTGATCTTGTTTGTCATATTTTCTTCTGTTTCTACTATTGATTCTGTTAGGTTTGAGCTATCAGTTTACATCTCTTTACTTTCTCATTTTTCTCTATTTTTAGTTCATCATTTTCTTTCTCTCTGTGTCTATAGCAACTTGATCTTCTGATGTCATTTCCAGAATAAAGCATTAGTCTGATTGTTTTCTCTTAACCCACCATCAAACCTTACTGCTTTCTGTCAGATTTGTCATTATTCTGACCAAATTTAAGATCCTAATCCTCTTATTGTTCTTCTGTGTATGGTGTACCTGTACACTGTTACATCTAGTCACCATGGATACTGCAAGAGAAGCTGAGAGCCTGAGACATTAATAATCAGGCTTAACTGAATAATCCATATTGGTAGAATGGATTTAACTTTGTCCAGCATCTCATGAGTCATGATGGTGATGAGCTGTATACAATACATGGTACATGACACAAGCCACTGACGTGTAAAAAGGTGTTTTGGCACATCCTTGTCATGACAAGGGCTGATGTTTCTATTTTCATGTTGAGGTGGTATGTCATAATTGTAAGTGTAAAACTCACCAAAACTCAAGACCATCATTTATGGAATGTCAAACCTTTTATAGCTTTTCAAAAATTGCAACATCAAACTTTGTTTCAACATTTAGCCTCTCCCCCTCATTCAGATTTGTTTCTGTTGCTTCAGTTTTTCTTTTTGTGCCAGTTATCCACCTTTTCATCTATCACTGGGAGTTGAATAAACTGTTTACATATTTGTTTTGTTTAAGTGGATAATAATTCTTTTCTTTCTTTTCAGAACAATAGTTTTAGATGTTGACATACTTTGTGCAGCATGTAAAATTGGATAGCAATAGATTTGATCAAATTCATGTGGTCATAATCATGGGATGTTTCCCATTGTGATGGTGAATGTCATAATTTACATGATTAGTGACTTGAACTAATTACCTCTGCCTCCATAAGACATTTAGTAGATGTCTTTCCCATTGGTATAATGGTGTATTGTTTACAGCACAGGACATGCCATCTCTATGTTCCAACCAGAACCTCGTAGCTTTATCTTCTTTCGACAATGCAATAGCAAAACACCACAACTAGATATTCATTTTTTATATTCTATTAAAATGTAGGTTGCTTACCTTCACGTCTGAATTCCCTAGTACTTATTGTATCTATCACCTAGCATTCTCATCTACCTGTTTCTTATGTTGTGGACCTAAATTTTTTTGTTGCTAAGATTTTATCTGAGAAAGGTAGGATTTATAAAGTTTGGTAGTGTAATAAGTTATGTCCTCACCAGAACCTCACAGCTTTATCTTCTTTCAACAATGCAATAGCAAAACACCTCAACTAGATATTCATTTTTTATATTCTATTAAAATGTAGGTTGCTTACCTTCATGTCTGAATTCCCTAGTACTTATTGTATGTATCACCTAGCATTCTCATCTACCTGTTGCTTATGTTATGGATCTAAAATTTTTTGTTGCTAAGATTTTATCTGAGAAAGGTAGGATTTATAAAGTTTGGTAGTGTGATAAATTATGTCCTCACCATGAGAGGCAATGACTGAATGAGTGTTAAAGAATGACAGCTTCTTCTTATTGGATTTTTTATGGGACAAGGGATTATTGTAGCTCTTGCTCTTCCTTTGTTAGTCAACAGATTGAATTTTCTTCGAGTTCAGGTTTATTTTTATATCTAAGGCCTTTATCTTTCAATTCTCGTTTCTTGTTCACTTAATATAAATTTTACGTAGATGATAGTCGACAGTATTATACAGTAATAAGTTACTTAACGCTGCCTCAGGATGCTTTGTCAAAAAGTAACGAGGTCTTTGAAGCATTTAAGCAGGACATGGAAAAGGTAAGAATGACTTCGTAGGCATTGCATGTTGATATGGAACATGAACCCTCTGCTTTTCTGAATATATGATTTTACAGTATATTTACTCTTGTTATCTTCATATATGAATTAAGTAAATTCATTATAATTTACTCTTTGTGACTTGAATTTTAATCAGATGGCAAAATTGGTAAAGGAACTTAAGAAAGAAAATGAATTTTTGAAGAGCAAGTGTGAGAAGTCTGATATTGCACTCGTGAAGCTCATTGAGGAGGTAAGCTGAGCAGGCAAATTATATCAACATTTCGCTAGACTTACACCAATGTTCTTTACAAGGTCGTATTGTTTTGTTGATCAGTATCATAAGTTCCAAGTTAACAAACTGTTAAAAAGTTTTTTTTATTCTTGTTGATAGCATGCCTTGAGATGAAGCCATTCTTTTGGTCATACTAGTTCTTCCTGAATGTAAGATCATAAGCAAAAGCCTAAACTATTTATTACTACATATCACTGGGACTCCTATACGAGTCATCTTGACTGTTATCATTCCCATACCTTATTGCTGAACAAATGCTGCTTTTTGTTATTTTTCCAGCAAACTCTTTTAGATGAGAACAATCTTCCAGTTATCAGATGTTTTAAACATGTGAAGAACTCCAAAACGACATCTGTCCATTTGATAAAAATCTGAATTTGATTTCCTCAATTTTAAGTTTCTTACTTGGGGCAGATATTCTAGATCCTTTTACTACTTAAAGTATCTCAGTATTTAACTCATGGTGTCTCACAGGCTTCTTGTGTTTATATGCTGGTCTCTTCTAGTACATTATCTACAGATTTTATGATTGAGCAAACTGATGCATTAGATAGTGTCGTAGAACTGTAGGATTGGCTGAACTTAAGTGGCTTGTTTTGCTGCTTTATAAGGGTTTAATTATCCTTGGCTCTATCTACCATATGAAATCAGTTGATATGAGCAAGGTCATAAATATTGATGATAATGGGTTTTGGCATGTTGCTAGCATGTGGTTTGGCATGTCTTCTTTACTAGCCAAAACATGTTTAAAAGTTTACTTATCTCTAGTGAATACTGATTAGTATTTGATACCACAACAACAGGATTTTAATGACTCAGCATGAGAATCCCTCTTTCAGCTGAAGCTTAAATCCTTGGTCATGACACACCTCAATATTTCTGTTCTTTTTGTTATGATTTTAAATCATAATAAACTTCTTGCATATTTGACCAAACTCAGATAATAATAATTTTGGTACTGGCAGATAATAATAATTTTGGTAATTTAGGAAAACAACTCCGGTTATGATTTGCAAGTTATGACAAGAGAAAGCCCTTTATGTTTTGACAGCTTCCACTCATGAAAATTTTTATATTGAATAATGCAACAAATTGTCAAGCTGAAGAAACCACCGTAAGGTCCCCCACAATGACACAGGTTAATCAAGATATGATTATAAAAAAAATGCAGCATATTATTGCAGAATTATCACTCGTCTTTTACAATAGAGATTTTATAACTTCAAAGTTTTATTGTTTATTAGGAGGATCATTCTTTTGCAGTTTTAAGGTAACCACTAAGTTTATCCTTTGGTGATTATTGTTGGAGCCAGTCATCAACATATATGAATCATATCTGCCTTTTCATCAATCAAAATTGATGTTAATTTAGTGTCATGACCCATCATCATGTCCAAACTCTGCGATGTGTTTACCAGAAGTTCTTTGTTATTGTTTATCCAACTCTTCTGTTTATGGACATGTTGTTCTCATTATTAATTTCCTTTGCCCTACTGTTATGAAAGCGTGAGGTGATGAAGAAACAGCTAGAAAAGGTGAAGAATCAAAAGGAAAAGCTTGAATCTCTATGCCGATCTCTGCAGGCGGAGAGAAAACACAACTTGGTTAAGGCCACCTCGGATCCTGTTGCTGTTGCTGCTGCTCTCCAAGTAACTCTGTCGAACGAAGACTCCTCGTGACAAGTGAAGAAATCTTGATCATTCCCACTCTCAAGATTACAAAGGTGAGAAAAGAGGGTACCACTTACCACACCCCTTTTCTCCCTGGTGTATTTGTCTTTTTTGCGCTTGAAATGTTACTGTTATGTTATGTCGGAACGAAGCAAGCAATTGCCATTGGTGAATTGTTGCTTCCTTTAACATCTTCGAACTGCATGTGGTAAATCTTTCAAGTTATATGAAAGGTAAACCTGAGGGGGTTTGGATTATGTATCTTGATTAACTGTGTTGTCTTTGTTGTCAGTGCATTGCATTACAACCTCTCTTTCTTTTACCTCTGCATTGGTTGTTTCTTGTTGTTGTTTGACTGGTGGATAGGCTAATGCTTACTAGCATCGGCAGAGATTGATAAGATTGTGAAGTAAACCCACTGGCTTCATCATGTTCATTATAACATATCAATCAACCACCCGATTCATCATGTTAACAGCCGTAGAAACTCTCGACTATTTCTCTCCTCACTCTTGGAACCCTTATTTATCACTTCACTTGGAACCTTAATCTCGACGACTATTTCTCTCCTCACTCTTGGAACCCTTTTTTATCACTTCACTTGGAAGCTTCATTTTTCACATCGACAACCGTCTTTCCAGTTTGGATCCTCCTCAACACCTCAACCTTCTTTAGCATCAGCAACCAACTTTAGAAGAGACGACAATATATCAGAAAATTCAATAGGTAAAAACAGCATTGCCTGAGCACATTCAGCAAAACACACAAAAAAGTAAAAGGCGAAAAAGGAAATATAATAACAAGAACCAGATTAAGACCGAGCGAGGATTCTTACAAAGTTCATTCACACATCCAAAACACATAAAAAAGATCAGGACCAAGGTCACCATCAATCTACAAAATTTAGCTGAAGAACTAGCAAAGTCTGACCTATAATGTGATGTTCAGTAGCCTGAAGCAACCCGCTAGAGGTGTATTGAGTAGATTTGATCACCCAAATGCATGGATACCACTGCACATCATCCAATTAGCTCTTTTAGGAACTTCGACCATCCTTGACTTCCTAACTCTCAGTCTTCTGCATACCAAAAGACCCCAATAACCACAACTGCAAAGCAATATTTGTTGTCATCCTGAGATACAAAATATATAAGAAGCAAACTTACCATCAAGATTCTTTTATTTGTTTTGGTAGGAGCTCCGTGTTTACTCTCCCGGTGCAGAAATTCCTTGCTTGAGCCTTTCCCTTTTCATCTTCTTTTTGGAGACTGGCTTCTTCTTTTTTGGTGGAACCGTCTTTTGTGCATACGTATAGAGAGCATAGTTTCCGATGAGGAAGAGCAGTAAGAGTCCCCCCACAACAATCAAAACCACCAAACCTGGGTTGAACCCTTTAGGTGTCTCCTCCTTAATCACGTTTCCCTGTTGATATCAAAAGTTAGCCCACTTCAAATAGAGGGACCATTGGAATTAAGTATTAAGCCATATTCAAATATCATCATGGTAGGTCGGTGCTATTGTTGAATCAGTACAACCCCAATTCATATGGAAAATCTTTAAAGCATCTCGACATATCCAATTCACGGAACACATCCAGCACCACTTTGGGTGCAAATGTGAAACAGAAGCATAGAAACTTTTGACATTCTACACAATCGACACAATATTTAATAATTCAAATTGTAACTGTAGATCTACTGTTCAAATATAAAATTCTAGGATGCAGTGTCAGAAGTTGGTGAATCAAAATACCTTAATCAGTCTGTTTTTCTGATCTTCGATTGAGCTCTAGTGACAACAAGACCTCATAATCAGACACATCCATAGGACTAGTGAATGGGCATTTCTATTGAGAAAACCAGTTAAACAGAAATTTGGCTGCTGACATGTTTTGGCAACTTTATGATCCTAAACCTTCATGTCATTAGATCCTTATAAACTTTGTTAGCAAGTCAACATGTGTTCACCCTCTTTTACATAACATCTATGCATAAATAATGGTTCTTAGTAGCAAATGCTTCAGTGAATCCAAGCACAATCTTCAGAAGGTTTTCTTGCTAAAAGAGAAATGTACCCATCAGGCTCATAAACCATATGAAGAAAATAAACTTTGCAGATTACATTGCTGTTGTTGCATTCAAGTTTGTTGCAAACTTCTCAGAGTGCTTTGATGAAACTTACCAGCTCTTTTGTTAGTTACAGATGCAGAGTATACATCAGAGAAGGAAATGACCTTGATAAAATTTTATATGGAAAACTCCAACAAAGCCAATACAATCTCACTCTCACATTTACGGTAGCCATTAAAGACAAAAAAAAGGATACCTTTGTTATTCATTGAAGTGCTAACACAGAACTAGTCATCATTATGCACTGATATCCAGTTAGTACAAAACAGGGAATTAGAATGGTTTAAAAAACAATAGAGTTTTAACAGATCTACGAAGGGTGTTCCAAACTAACAATATATATCATTGTTGAATGATCAAGAATGTTGCAGTTTGATGCCATAGACTTGATCAATAAATTAACAAACTACCAATATATTATCATTGTGGAATGATCGAGAATGTTGCAGTTTGATGCCATAGACTTGATCAATATATTAAGAAAGCTAGCAGTGGCAGGTGTTTTTTCTTAATACATTAGCTTCAGTTCTTCAGCAAAATTACTAAGTTGCAGTTTGATGCCATAGACTTGATCACTAAATTAAGAAAGCTAGCAGTGGCACGTGTTTTTTTTTAATACATTAGCTTCAGTTCTTCAGCAAAAATACTAAGTTGTAGTTTGATGCCATAGACTTGATCAATAAATTAAGAAAGCTAACAGTGGCAGGTGTTTTTTCTTAATACATTAGCTTCAGTTCTTCAGCAAAAATACTAAGTTGCAGTTTGATGCCATAGACTTGATCAATAAATTAAGAAAGCTAGCAGTGGCAGGCGTTTTTTCTTAATACATTATTAGCTTCAGTTCTTCAGCAAAATTACTAAGTTGCAGTTTGATGCCATAGACTCATCACTAAATTAAGAAAGCTAGCAGTGGAACGTGTTTTTTCTTAATACATTAGCTTCAGTTCTTCAGCAAAAATACTACAGTAACACAATATTACTATTAGAATTACAATCGGATTCCAAGAAAATCCCACCTACAAGTAACTCTAATTTTTATATAAAAAACCCAAGACGGAGAAAAATGATATGTAGCCCGAATGCGCACTTTGAGGTTCTAGCATGGTTCATCATAACCAAATAATCTTACATACAATCATCTTAATGTTACTGTCCAAATATTAAAACAGACATCTTAATATGTTTGGTTGTCCATTACATCTATGCAGGAAGAAGCATAGGTAGTAAATGTGCACAGATGGAAACAACTGCCACTATATCATCTGATCAAACAAGAGGAGAAAAAGGACTCCTCCTGGCAAACATATCAAATGTAGAGGAGTACACAGTAGCAGTTTCTGCACGGCAACCAAGGATAGTACCCAACCATCGTGCACAACTGGGAGTACGATGGATTGATATCGGTGACATAGGCGCGAGCCACAAGTCCGGTTAGCCATCCAACGAAATCAAACGTTGAATCACATCTCGAATCGATCATATTGGTCTGATCATTCGCCCTAACGAGATGATACAAGGAAAAAAGGCTATTCTCTTAAATGCCTCATGTCAGATCTGGTGATTAATTATACATGAAACGACGCCCCGATGAAATCTGCGCACCAATTTGGAATTAGAAGTGAAAGAGAGAAGAAGCAAACGGAGTCTTACAGCTGCATCCGGAAACTGTTCGTCCATGGCGATCGATCCTACCAGAAGGCGCCTGGTTCCGTTCCCTGGACGCAACAATTCGTAAGAATTCCACAGAAAGGAAGCCCTAATCCGATCGGAAAAGGGGGAAACAAAGTAGATCTGCACTCACCGCACTCGAATCTGATCTCCGGAGGACAATATCGAGGAAGGAAGCGACGACGTATTTCCACGAGACGACGACGGAGTACCAAATGGAGAGCACCTTTGGATCTTCCCGTAGTGCTTTACCTGCTCTCCACACTCGTATTTAAACTCGTTTGACTGAACCAAGCCGAGTCGTATTGGGTTAACTGTTACACGATGGGATCCGATCCGATAAAGAGTCATAGTGGGTCAATTGTTATACGATTGTCTTATGGGAGTTAATTTTGTCCGATCCAAACCGAACCGAACGGGTTAGATTCGATCCCGTCCGTCCCGACCGTAATGCAGTGAGAAGTGGAGGAAAACCCTAGCCGCCAATCCATATATAAGCGAACGCCGTCGGCTCTCCGAAGCACGGACGAAGGATCGATCGAGGAGTGCAGCCATGGTGTCGGGGTCGGGGCTTTGCGCGAGGTGTGTGGTGGTGGACGCACGCCACCACATGCTGGGCCGGCTGGCGTCCATCCTGGCCAAGGAGCTCCTCAACGGGCAGCGCGTGGTGGTCGTCCGCTGCGAGGAGATCTGCCTCTCCGGCGGGCTCGTCCGCCAGAAGATGAAGTACCTACGCTTCCTCCGCAAGCGCATGAACACCAAGCCTTCCCACGGCCCCATCCACTTCCGTGCCCCCGCCAAGATCCTCTGGCGCACCATCCGTGGGTAATCAATCTGTCACCTTAGCTCCACAGTGCCATGCCATGCTAGAGATCAAATCTTGGTTAGAAGAGATCTAAATATGATAGTAGTATGATAAAAATTCCAATCTTGCAAAAGCATTTGGTTTGATGGTCTCGGTAGTTAAGAAATGGATCTATTTTCTTGATTTTTTTTCCTCCTCAAGGATGATACCTCACAAGACGAAACGTGGGGCGGCGGCGCTGGCAAGGCTCAAGGCGTACGAGGGCGTTCCACCACCTTATGATAAGATTAAGAGGATGGTTATTCCTGATGCACTCAAGTATGGGGTTCTTGCCCAAATGATTTCAGGTACAGTTGTGTTAAATGTTGTCTAGTTTGTTTGATGAACTGCTGGACGTGTCTTTTTTAGGGTCCTGAGGCTTCAGCCCGGGCATAGATACTGCTTGCTGGGTCGGCTGTCATCGGAGGTTGGATGGAATTACTATGATACTGTTAAGGTGAGATCACGGTAGCTCTATGTTTACTCCAATTTCAAACGTATGATATATATTGTCTCTTAGCTGCTTTGAATCATTTATACTAGTTCTTCAGTAATAATTACCTGCGTACTGAATTTGTTTGTTAGGTATATTGGAGTTATTTGCTTTGCTGGTGCAATGCTAACAATTAACACAGTTGAACAGTTTTTCTGGGTCATCGTTATCCATATTATTGTGTTCTTTTGCATTTTAATCTGCACATCGCTTGCACTGTTTTCTAGACATCAATTACAGGACCACATTCCTTCTCTGTCATCAATTACACACATCAATGTGTATCTTTTTTCAATGTCAACATTGAAGGTTCTCATAGATGGGGTATCGGCTGCTTTTTCTTCTTTCCTGGATCTTTTCCATACTTCAACTTTTTCTCTGTCATCATGGCAAGAGTAATCAAGAAATAATTGAGAGTATATTATTGCTTTGACTAATTTGTACTAGTTGTTGGGTGCAAATATTTGCATACTGAATTTGTTTCATTAGGAATATTTTGTTTGTTTATTTTGCTAGCGCATTGCCAACAAATAACATAGTTGAACGATTTCTCTAGTTCATTGTTATCCACATCATTGTTTTTTTATGTATTTTCATCTCCACAACCTTTGTATGGTTTTGTTGACATTGATTACAGTATACCATGTCTTCTCTATCCCTTACATATTCTTTTGTGATTTGTGTCTTCTTTCAAGGTCAGCAATTGAATGGTGTCATAGATAGAGCATGAGCTGCTTTTTCCGTTTTCCTGCGTACTTCAGCAAACATAAAACTTTTTCTCTGACTCTGTATGACAAGACTAATCAAGAAGTTATTGTTTCCAATAGTGAATTGAGAGTATCATAAGCCTTCTCCATTCCTGTACATAGTCTTCTGTGATCTGTTTCTTCTATTTTTTCAGTTTGTCAAGTGATTCACTTTCATGTTTGAACTTGTCATGTGCTGAGCTATCATTTGTTTGATTAATGTGCTAAAACTAGATAGGATATGGTGCTTTTAACTGATGAAACATGCAAATGCTGCCTTCTCAGGAGCTGGAGGCAAAGAGGAAAGAGAGGGCCAAGGTGGCTTATGAAAGGAGAAAGCAGCTCACAAAGCTTAGGTTGAAGGCAGAAAAGGCTGCGGAGGAGAAGCTTGGTTCCCAGCTTGACATCCTTTTGCCGTTGAATTACTGAGTTCGATTTCATTGCTTTTTGCCAGAACGATATGGTTAGTTCTTTTTGTCATGTTTGTTGCGAGACCGAGTTTACCGTTGTTTGTTTGTGTAACATGCAACATGGGATTTCTTGAAATTAAGCATATTATGGAAGACATTGTTAAAAACATCAAGCATTATGGTTTTTTATGTGATAATGTTAGGACTCTAACTAGTAGAGTCCTAATTGAGAATGACATTCATGTAAAACCTACTTAAGCCGATCCATATTAAAGAGGTGAAGAGGTCAGCTAGGGTTAGGAGGTTATTTCTTAGAGAAGAATTAGGAGTTGTAAAGGAATAGGAGTCTTGAGTAGGAGTCCTATTAGGAGTTGGTTAGACGTAAGAGTCTTGAGTAGGAGTCGTATTAGGAGTTAGGGTTTAGAAGCCCTATAAATAGCCATGTATTTCTTATTTTTTCATAAGCAATAGATGAATCTTTTCTGTAGCCTTTGAGCAGCAACTTGGAGGGAGGAACCCCTATAGAGTTTCAAGAAGGCCGATCTCCTAAAGAGATCAACTCCAAGTTTAGAATCTGCAAGGGTTCTAACAGATAACAGGTCTTAATTGTTGCATACAGAAGATGAAGAAAATATTCTCTTTAATTCCCTTGTGATAAGTGTTGTACTTGTTGTCGAGGATCAGTAATTAAGAAAGCTTTATGAGTCTATAGTTTTATTTTTTTGTTGTGAAACAAATTTGAAATATTATTACAAGAGAATCTAACGTGTTGATAAATAGCAGATTGTCTACTTTGTTCCTGGACTTGCTTGGTGAATGGTGGAACACCATTGTAGATTCCACTAAGATCATGGCTTTTCTAATCCTTGGTTCAATGATTACATTCTTATTAGTGGTATTCTGTGCTTTGTGTGAGATTATAGTTAGGGCTGATCTCAAATAAATGTTCATTTTTCAATGAATAAAGGATGAGTACCAGATTTCATCTGAGGCGTTTGTTATCGATAGTCAAACTTTTACTAGCTAAGTTGGTGCAATGATTACATTCTGATTAGTGGTATACTGTGCTTTGTGTGAGATTATGATTTGAGCTGATCTCAAATTAACATTCTTTTTCAAAGAATAAATGATGAGGAGGAGATTTAGGATTTCGTTATCATTAGTCAAAATTGGTCGACATATCCGAAAATTTCAGATGAGATTTTGAATATTTAATTGTTGACAAGTGAATATGTAAATAATATGCGAGCATTGATTTGTTATCCTCGAGCTTGATCAACACAATTCATTCAACTAGGCCCAAGTCACTAAGATTGTTTGAGCAAAGTTCCTCATTCATAACACTCGACAAGTATTAGGACGTTGAGCATTGATCATGGTGGGCAGTCAACAACTACAGTGGAGAAGTCAAATATCACCAATTCAACAAGTGAAGATTTATAGATTATCAATTAGGTCAAAGTACGTGCCAGTATCACCTTTGACCGTGTGAGAATCTATCATCATTTTCTTACATCATAGTGAAAGTTTAAATAAATAAATTATATTTTCAGGATAAGTAATAACAACGTGGCTGTAGTTTAGTGGTTAGAATTCTACGTTGTGGCCGTAGATACCTGGGCTCGAATCCCAGCAGCCACAAGGAGAACAAATTTAGTTTCCACATTTTGGCTAAAATAGAACTAATTTTTTTATCCGCAATTAGCATCGATCATGTCGAAATACACATAATATTGACCAGTGAAATGAATTTGAGGTATATATGAAATATGAAAATTATTCATAGTCGAATGAATGAAAAGTCAAATATGTAATCACAATTAATCTTTATTTATATTTTACCTAAAACATTATTCCTCCTCCATGTATCATTACAATTAACAGCACCAAAATAAAAATTTTGAGGATTCCTCTCATTCCATCATCGGAATAAGAGAAATAGGAATCGGAAATCCCTTTCCCACCTCTCTCTCTCTCTCTCTCTCTATCCCTCATTTTCCCTATATATATATTTTTATATATAAGAAAATGTAACGAATTTGTTTGACACAAAAAACAAAAAAAAGGAAAAGCTATGTATACTAACGATTGCATGGTAAAGAACCAAGCCCTCTTCTTTTGAGCCCTCCGATCGTGATCAGACGGTGGTGTGGGCGCAGCAGAGTGGGCACCTCACGAGGCCGTTCTCGTTGCAGGCGGTGCATGTCCGGAATCCCCCCCCGCCCTTCTCGGAGTAGCACCGGCGGGATCCGCTGCAGCTCCGACAGAGTACGAAGCGGAAGTCACCGCAGCCCTCGCATACCCCTACGACCGCCGGCGCCGCCCCCTCCACATACCGCTTCAGCTCCCCGGTCTCGTAAAGCCGCCGGATCTCCTCGGCCCCGCCGAAGTGGCGCCCCCCGATGAACACCTGAGGGAGGCCGAGCGGCTTGCGGCGGCCGCCGAGGATGCCCTTTAGCTCCCGCATGAACGCGGCGTCGAGGGAGACGTCGCGCTCGTCGACGGCGACGCGGAGCCCGCGGAGGATGGTCCGGACGTCGGCGCAGTCGTCGAAGGTCTGGCGGACGACGCGGAGGGAGGTGTAGTAGAGGACGATCCGCTTCTCCTCGCCGGGGGGCAGGCCGAAGAGGTCCTCCGGCGGGGTGCACCACGTGCGGAAGGCGGAGGAGGCGGACCGCACGCGGTGAAATACCGGCGCCGGCGATAGCATCGGAGACGGTGATGGGGATGGTGACGGGGATGGGGACAGGGACGCCCAGTAGGGTGTCGTGGATGGGTCGTCGGTGTCGTCATCGCCGAGGAGGGAGCGGACGTCCTTGAAGGAGGAGGAGGAGCGCAAGAAGGAGGAAGGGGGCGGCGGCAGCAGCGGGGGCGGTGGCGTGGGGGAGGCGGCTCCGCGACGAGGGAGGCGGAGCTTTCTCCATGGAGACCACATGAAGCGAGGGTGGCGATAGACCGAGGAGAACGATGGAGAAAGAGGAAGAAGAGGAGGAATGGGAGGAGGAGGCGGAAGAAGTCATGGCATTTAATTGGGCGAGTTGGGAAACGAGGGAAGCGGAGGAAAAGATGGAGAAGGGGGAGATGCAAAGCAAACTTAATTAAAGTTCTCTACAATGATGGTTAAGTTTAGAAGGTTGGAGTTGAGGTTATATGTGAAGTAATGAGAGGGCTGCTAATTTTAGTTCGATCCAAAGACTGTTCTTAGAATAGCATCTAATACACAATCCATTTTCAGGAATTAGATAATTATATAATATATTTTGAATGATTTATTATTTCTCTAATCATATATAAGTTGAATCAATTTCTATGAATGGGTGCTAATAGGTGTGTATTTGCAGGGGCATATACATAAGTTTGCATTACTCCCCTTCTTTATATATATATATATATATACATATATATATATATACATATACATATATATATATATATATATATGTATATACATATACATATACATATATATATATATATAT